CCCGGGCTCGCCCTTGCCCCAGGGAGGGAATTTTGCGCCTTTGCAAACATATTTCGCGGGTGTTTTGTGTTTTTTTTCCCCCCCTCTTTTGAGGTCGCGCCCCAGGCGAACGCGCGGGGGTTCCAGGTTCAGGGAGCAGGAAGGTTGAGTCGCTAACGGGAAAGGGTGAGGTCCAGCTCGCCCCGCAGGGCTGCGGGACACGGGCACGGCACGTGCCGCTTGGCAGGGACTTGTCCGTGCAGCTTCCTGCCTGGCAGCGCTGGAACCCGCGGGATCGCGGGCTGCGCTGCGGCCCGCGGGGGCCGGCGGCGCTGGGGCCGGCTGCAGGTCCCGCTGGGCTTGCGGCTGCCTGGCCCGGGTGGCCAACGCAGCCCTGGAGGGGGTAAATGCAGAACAGGGCAGCCCCCAGTCCCGTCCGGCCGCGGGACGGCGACGGTGCCCGCGGGATCCCGGCCTCCGCGGGTGCCGGGCAGGCCGCCCTCCGCTTGCTCTGCATCCCGTGCTGGAATCGCTCCGGCACGCAGGCCCGCAGCCAGGCCCGAGCCGCCTTTCCCAGGGGATGCTCCATGCATTTCCTGGCACAGGATCTTGGTAGTGCATGGGGGTGATCTCAGAGCCCCATCAGAAGAGCTGGGCTTGTCCTCCGGGACAGGGGCTGCTCCTGCTTGTATCTGCAGAGCCTCTTCCTGCCTGCGGCTTGCGAGTGGCCTCGTCCTGTGGCCATTCCTGCCATCTCCCCCAGACCTTCCTTTGGGAAAAAGCTGGGGGAGGAAGAGCACAGGGTCTGTCATGGGGACACACCGGAAACAGGCCAGGAACACTTAAGCAAAGGGGCTGAGGGTGAAATAAAAAAGAGCGGAGGCAAAGGTCCTTTTTATGGGGGACGAGGGGCAGCGGGAAGGCTCCAGGCAGGCTGATCCTCTGCCTGGCTCATTGATAAAGAAAAATCTCCGGCGCCATCCTGGAGATGTTGCTGAATTCCCATCGGAAGGGCTCCAGCTTTATGTGCTTTAACCCTTTATGTCCTCTTGTGAGGATGGAAAGTTAGGGAGGAGGCGGCTCTTTCAGCAGCTGCTGAAAGCGAAAGCAGGGACTTCTCCTAAGGCAGGGCCGTCCTGGGGCCCTGCACTTCCCTCTGCCCCCTCCGGCCCTGCAATGACTTCACTTTCCGCATCCCTATTTTTAAGTACATGGGTGCCCTTCCCGCTGCTCCCCAAGGCCTTCCCGATCTCTCCTGCCTTGATATCCTGGTGGCACATGGGGAATGGGGCGACGGGAAGGGATGCTGGCCTGCGGAGCGGGAGGACCCAGGGCAGCAGATCCTGGGGTGGATGCACCTTGGCCCCCGACAGAAACTGGGAGTGAGCCCGAGCGCCCGGCCCCGCGGGAGCGGGAGAGCCGGGGCACGGGGAGGTGCTTGGGGCTGGGAACGGGCCCGGGCCGTGGCGGATGGGCTCGTTTTGGCTGTGTGCGAGGAGGCCGCAGCGTCCGGTGTTGCGAGAGCCGCCGCAAACACCCGAGAAACCGAAACTGAAAGGTTCGAGCGAGGGCAGCGGTGGGACGGGCGCCCGCGCGTCGGGCAAGTGCGAAGCATCGCGGGGCACCGAGCCAGGATCACCGGGCACCGCGGGGCCGGAGCCAGAGCCGTCCCCAGGGCCGAGGGCTGCTCCGGAGCCGGCGGCGCCTCCTGCTGCATCCGTCAGAGCTCCAGGGACACTTGGGCCCTTTGGAAGGGTCTGCATCCTGCCCCCGGCTAAGGGCAGCTTGCAGGACGACACAGGGCAGGAATTTGTACCGCTTTGGTTATATGGGTTATATTGAACCCGCCTCGCGCCGGAGGGCAGGTTTAGCCTTGCTGGGCCCTCCGGGAGGGCGGGAGACGCCGGCGGCGGAGGAAGGAGCGAGGATTTCCTCTGTGGAGGAGGGGGCGGCGCACGTGCATCCGGCCCAAACGCGCACGGAGCCGCGGCCACCGGAGCCGCTCCGCTCCGCGCGCCGGCGCTGCCCCTTCTCCGGCCTCGCGCGCCGCCCTGCTCCCCAGCCTCGTCCCACCGGCAGCTCTCCACGGTGCCCACGGGGAAGGCGACGTTGGGAAAAGCAACGTCCTCCCCGGGAGGCTGCGGGAGAGAGCGGCACCTCCGGCTGCTCCAGCCCCTGCCGGGCACACATGCAAATATCCGGTGGCTTTGAAGCTGTGAGGACAAACTTTGCATTTCTCACCCCATCCCCGCTTTGCCTGGAGGCCAGACTTCGCTCTTATGGTCTCAGTCCCCGTTTCTTCTTGTTTTCTTCTTTCTGAATTATCACCAGTGTGGGCTCGGACCATGTGTTATGCTCCTGATCGTGATGTAGGTGGTTATTCCAGGTCATTGCTGCCTTTTCGCCTAGGGTAGGCTGTAAACCTTTGGGTGTCAGTGTGTTTTCATGGGTCTAAAGGTGGTGGAAACGGGCCTAGAGCTGCCCGCGTAGCCCCTTGCAGAGCCAGCCCCGGGGCTGCACCGGCACATCCAGCAGAATCCGGAATGGCAGCAGCAGCCTCCGCCCGGCGTCCCCGGCCGCGCTTCCGTCCCCGCGAGCCGCAGGGGATGATGTCAGTGGGACGAGCGCAGGGGTGAGGAAGCTGAGGAATGTGGAGTTCACAGCGGCCTGAAGCCGGCGTCTGCGCTCGGGCTGCCGCTGCCGTCCGGGACAGCCGGGCTCTGCATTTGCTTCCCGTTTAATTTTCTTATCCTGACTGCAGCGCAGGAGACGTGAAGAAGGGGGGAATTAGAGCTGTGCGGGTGCTGCTGGGGGCCGGAGCCCTCCGTGTATCGTGTTGCTTTCCCCCCAACACGAAGCCGCTGCAGATGCTGCTGGGCCGGAGCCGGCGCGGTCCCGCGGGATGTGCCGGGGCCGTAGGACGCCCGGCGGGTTTCCAGTGTGCAGGGAGAGGGTGCAATGAGGTGGGAAGGGTCCGGAAGAGGCGAAATGCAGCCGAGGAGCTGGGCTTGGCCGGGAAGGGGCGCGCGTGCCGGGAAGGGAGGAGCCAGGTGCCTGCGGAGATAAAACCAGCAGCGCTTCTCCCGCGGGCCCAAGGGGCTTCCTGGCGCTTGCCCGGAGGAGCAGGAGGCTTCGGGGCTCCGGCTGCTCCCTCCCGTGTCGGTGCCCAGCAGCCACCACCTGGTCCGCTTATCCCGTCTCTCCCGCTCCAGGTGAAGGTGTTGCCCC